TTCTGCAGAGATACAGGGCCGCCCTATAGATCATCCCCAAGTCCCCAGATGGTCCATCTCCAGTGGGCTCAATGGGCACCACACCTCAGCAACGTGCTCTGCCCCCTGGTGAATAGAGCTGCACCTCTCCAATGAGGCCTGAACTTCAGCCCTACCAAGAGAACAAGGAGTGGGGGTGGGTGTCTCCCAAGGATGGCTGCTCCTCCCCACTTCTGCTATTCCTTGACTCTTCAGAATGTTCTTTACCCTTTTCTAGTCCTCCCCCAGTACACGAATCCCCTGTTAAAAGTTCATTACGTATGGCTTCGTTTCCGACTGGACCTTTCAAACTACTGATATTGGTCATTTCAAACTACTGATACGAATCTTGCTGGAGTAGAGAGAAAGACAACTACTAAACAAAAACAACAAACCAAACGCCGTGCCACTGAGTTGATTTGACCTGTGGCAACCCTATAGGACAGGGTAGAACCATCCCTGTGGGTCTTGGAGACTAACTCTTTACAGGCTTACAAAGCTATCAAACTTCCCTTTGTGATGGAGTGGGTTGTTCGCTGTGCTGTTAAGTACCAGGTCAGCAGTTTGAAACCGCCAGGCATTCCATGGCAGAAACAGGAGGTTCTCTACTCCCATAGACAGTTGCAGTCTTGGAAACCTACAGGGCAGTTCTACTCCGTCCTGTGAGGTCACTGTGAGTCTGACTCCAGTCAATGGCTATGAGTTTTTTTATCGAAAATCCCTTGGTATATAATAATCTGTTTAATAAGGTAGGGAATTTGGTAATTTGGTATGGAAGAGTCTCATACACATGGCTAAGAAACACAGGCTGTTTAGTTTGAGGAGATGGTACTTCTTTGGAGACTTGACTTCAGTGTAACAGTTCATCTCTGTGCTTAAAGCTCCCTCTGCTTGAAACACCCAGTTCTCCATCCTCGCACGCTGGCTTCAAACTGTACCTCCTCGCTGAAGCGCTCCCGGATCACCCAGTCTCAGTTAGCTGGAATTCACTCCCACTTTTACCAGTCTATCTTCAGAACATCACCCACTTTCTTTTCTTTTTTTTGAAATTTAGAAGAGTCGTTTATTCGGTTATAACCAGACTGCAAGAATGTAAAAGCAACTCTTTGATTGCAGTTCCAACTGGACACTTCAGTGAGTTTATAAAGCCAAAAACTCATTTATCACTTATTATGGACTTCCCTGTAGAACAAGCAAGTCTGACAAAATCAGAAAGCAAAATTAATGTTATTGTTCTTCAGAGGTAATGATACTTACAGGGCACAGCATTGATTATAACATCCTGGTTAATAAAATAAGAAGAGTAATATCCTGGTTACAACATCAAAAGGAACAGTATTATTAATTACGATGTTCTGTTCTCCAGAACATGAGATAAAAAAAAGAATGTACTCCCACCCATTTTATTTTCTTCATTTGATTATATTTACTTGTGTGGCCTGCCTTCAAATTCTTGAACTTAAGTTTCAAAATACAACAGTGATTATCCCCCTAACCTTTAGCTCTGTGCTTGGCATATAATGGATTTTCCATAAATATTTAGTGATTTGGGAGAAATGATCTTATGTAAATGAGACAGCATGCTATTTATATTTAGAGGCTGGTATTCAGATCTTAGGGGCTCTGGTGGCATAGTGGGTTACGTGTTACCCACCAGCCATTCTGTGGCAAAAAGACATGGCCCTGGTCCCTTAACGGTTTATAGCCTTGAAAACCCACGGGGCAGTTTACTCCTGGCGGTCGACTCCCTATGAGTTGGAATGCCCTCGATGGCAGTGGGTTTGGTTTACGGTGTGTGTGCAGGTTTTACCCTTGTGGAAAGTATCCATCGAGGGAGCGGTTCCAGCTGTGTACAGCAGAAGCATTTCTGGACGGCAACATTACACAATAATCCCACTCACTGCTGGCCTTGAACAGCTGACCTTGCGGTTATCAGCCCAACGTGGCGCCCACTATGTCACTAGGGCTCCAAATTTAATACCGCCAAGGAAAGAGCTCTGTCATCCCAAACCACACAATATAGTTTGTATGCCGCATGTCTGTGTGTGTGTGTGTACACGGTCTGTTAACCCACTACTTACCAATTTTGTTTTTTCCTTCTTCATACTTTATTCTTTGTAAGATATGGTGCACAATTCGACTTCTTGTGGCATTGTTGAAGAAAGTGTCTTTGTTGTGTATGATGAAGCTGCACACAGATATTGAAAACACAAGCAGAGGGTTAATCAGAGGTCACGAACAGGTAGAACAGTCTCTGATGGAATTTGCCGTTACTCCTATGGAGGTGGCTTTGCAGTGAGTCAGTCAGAGCGAGGCTGTGTCTGGACCCGCGTGAGAGAGTCCAGAGGTCACACCAGAGACCCCCAGGCTCACAAGGCTGAGTCGTTTGGGTGCCCAGTATTCTGAGCACTAACCTCATTATGTCAGGAAGGAGCTGGAGCTAAATCAAATGAAAACAAACCAGACCCTTAAACTAATGGGAACTCCAGGTTTCATATCCTTTTTATCCTCCCTCAGGAAGGCCACTGAACTCAACTCAAAATGCACTTTGTTTATATCTTCTTTTGCCATCTACACCTCCCTGCTATCCTAACAACCTGTTGTTTGAGGGAATTGAAGATCTGACCCTGACTTGGGTAGGTGGATGCAGGAGTAGCTAATGAGCTCGGGCCTGACTCTAGAGAGAGATGAGAGGCACGTCTCCAGACACGGCTCCCATCCCTCACCCTCCCATGTTTCTTTCCTGATGGGCTCCCTCTGCAAAAGTACATTTAAGATGGGGTTTCTCAGCCAATGGCCTGCCCGCCCCAAAGTCTGTCACTGGGCCTCACACATGCAGCCCTGTTGTTACCTCTTGAGACTCTGCAGGGGACAGAGGATCCATAGGGGACAGAGGATCCAGCTCTCTCTCTCTCTCTCTCTTTTAAAATCATTTTATTGGGGTTTCATACAGCTCTTATCACAATCAATCCATCCAATGTGTTAAGCACATTTGTACATTTGTTGCCCTCATCATTCTCAAAACATTTGCTTTCTACTG